TCTAGCAGCTTAAGGTTTAAGTGTTCCTGGTAAGAGTATTACAGAATTATGAACAAGGGATCATAGAGTAAACAATGTTTTACAGACCTCCTGGAACACAGGGGTCAGTCAGAACCTCTCTGTGATCACTCTAGTTGTGCAACTGCAGTGCTTGATATGATCCTACTAAGATTCAAGCTCTAGTCACCTTACTGTATTATCAATATGTGGGAATAATGTTTTTTTTAATGATATTTTCCTCCCCACAAAGGGATTTAACAAATACTTTCAGATTTAACAAAAGTAGCAGCTGATTAATAGATATTACTATTACACAATGGTTATGGCACTAATTTTTTGACATTGATGAGACTGTCCCTGTCAAAATATAATCTTCCGAATACTGAGATAACAGCTGGTCCTGTAACCAATTTAGTTCTTTCACCAGAATATATATGCTAAAAAATAAGAAAGAGAAAGGAACAAACACAAACTTCTTCTTTATTTTCAACACTGATTGTTTACAAAATTGACACAATTCAATTCACAAATGTACCAAAACAAGCAAGCGATGGCGCAGTAAAGGCAGAGAGAATAAAACGTGATCAAAGGGAGAGGACGCAGTGAGAAGGCTGAGAAGGAAATTTCTAAATAAAGTTAGAAATAGAAAATTGGTGAGGTGAGTTAAAGGGTTAAAGCAGAATGTGCAAACACTATACATTTATTATTAGTAAAGTCTCTAAAAAATAACAAATAATTTAATAACTTTACACATGGCAGTGAGGTCTGATGTCACAGTGAGTCAAAGTTGTGTCACAAAACAGAAGCAACAACTTACTTTTATTTATTTTTGTTTACAATTTGTAACCCCGTAACATTTGAATGTGTGTTAGGGCTTAGATATTGATCTATCAATAATTTAAGAACTGTTGAATGGATGCAAATAATAATAATGACAATAATAATAAAATAATTATAATACAAAATTATACAGCTGAATGCAAATAAATATATATATATTTACAAATTAAGTGGCATTAGCAAATTAAAGTATTCATATTTTAATCATGATGGTATTTAATCTCTGTGTAAAGGGATTTATGCCCTCCATCAGGTCAAACGTACGCATAGAAAGGTAGTGGGAAAAAAGTTAATAAAAATAAAATAAAACTGAAAAAAACAACACAGAACCGAAAAATAAAATTGCAAATCTTAATGACGATTATCCAACAAGCCCAATTTGATTGTAAAATTTCAATCAACCAAAACAAAGACAACGTTTTTTTATGTTATCTTGTGGCGGACAACACAAGCCTGTGCTGTGTCCATACCCATATCTTGGGAAGCTGTGAAATCTGGCAATGGTGACACCAAGGGAAAGTGGATGTAAGAGCACTCAGTTGCCATGGAGATTCAGTGACCCAGGCGCTCGTCGCAGCTTTCAAATGTACCTTTTGTGGCTCCACCAAAAACCTCCACCTGACGGTTGTCCCACTGGATAAGGTTCCCAGACAATGGCGATGTGCAGTTAGCAATACCCTCTATTTCACTCAGACTCAGAACTCGATCCCACATGTTGAACTGGGCCACCTCTCCCACAAATGCCTGAGTGGCATCAAAACGACCACCTAATGTATCCTGCAGCAACCAAGGGGAAGAAAAGAAATATTCTGCTAATTAACCTGACTCTTACAAATACCAATGGCAGGAGATTATTCTTTTGACTGAAGTTGGTATGAGGGTCACAGAGGAGAATGCAATCCGGGGCCAAATCTCAGGAGCCATATTGTGTCATAGTATTATGTTTACACATGTTGATAGAAAAATAAAACATGTTTCGTATAGAGCAGAGCAGACAGTTTAATAACTCCAATAGGGTGATTCAGTAAAGTGAGAATTCAAAGTTAATTGCCAGTTTAAGGAAAAGTAGACAGAATGAAAACATTCTCTACATCTGCTATTCTTCCAGTTTGTCTATCAAAAATTTGAAATTCACTGTGAACTCACTTTGCTTTCTCATTTTAGTGAATAACCATGTTAGGGTCAATGCTTTGGGTTTTACATAGTTCCTGAATTAAATAATACAAATTAAGTACTGTATAATTTATGGGTTTCCCTAACAGCCAGGGCATACAAGGAGAAGGATCGCAGGGCAACATAGACCAAACAATGTGTGTTAGGAATATCACATAATAAAGGAATCCAGAAGATTTAAAAAACAAAACAAAGGTATGATAGAGTGGAAATATTCTATTGTTATATAAAGAGAGAATATATGACAGGTCAGATATTTGTACATAGGGAACCCCAATTAGATTACCTGCTCCTGTCCAAGAATGATGATTCCATTGGGTTTGATAGGGTGCCAGGCAGAGAGGTTTTCATTGGATCCCTTTTTTTTTCCATCCTGGAAGGCAGTCCACATCCCATCCCTTGTGGTCCAGGCCACACATATATGATGCCACATACCATCCTTTAAGCTGACAGGAAGTTGTGTAACCTAATGAAGTAACAGTGAATTATAAGTGAGTACCCAGTGTAGGACAAGCCATAGGGTAATTTGTAGCCTTGGATGGTCATATGCAGCATACTTTAAAAGATGGGCTAAGATGTAACCACCTAGTTGTTAGAATCTATTTAATCTTTGAATAGCCTCACATAAAGGGTAACAGTCACATCCCAGGATTTTCAATATTCTGTTTGTTTATTCCTTTATTTAACAAATATATATGTGTGAGGTGTGAAAACAATAAATGTAGAAATCCATGCCCCTTTCACTTATATCCTGCAGCTGGGTGCCTCCTTCTTAACTTCCTCTCTATTGATGGAGTAAGCTCTGTTCTTTTTATCTAGCCTTCAGCATTGAAAAAGCATGCAGAAAAGAGGAGAAATTAAACAACGTTTCTATTTCTTCTCCTCCTTAACAATGTCTGCCCTGGCTCTGCTTTATCTGATCTTATGATTTAAATTGTAATTAAACCTAAATCTAAAAAAAATACCAGAACCCCTAGTGAAGAGAGGTTATCACAGGTTGGGGGGAGTTTTCACTGTTAGTCCAGTTGTGTACATTTCAGATAAGGGATTGTTCCCCTTTGCGTTATCTAAATATGAATTGAGTATCAAAACAATGTGTGCCCCTCTGGTTTGATAAGAGTCTTCCTGGTCTAGCATTTGCCAAAGAACCTTTCAATTGGATGAAGGCCTAAATTACGCAATACCTAGAAAGGTACTGGGGTGACATGAGCCTAAAGCTTTATGATTGTAATGGGACCCAACATTTCTGATGACAACCCTGTTTAAAGTATTAGAAGAAAACAAAAATTACTACCATAAAAACTGGATGTTATAATAAACGTTTAGGTTTTTACTGCAATACTGCCTCCTCCAAACTCTTGTTTTGTAGGATGGATATGGGACAAGGGTGAGCCTAGGGATATTGGTCTTTGAAGTAAGTTAAATATCTTTTTTTTTCTCTATGAAAACATATGAGTGGTAAGCAACAATGGGGTTAGGATAAGAATAAGCAGTGATAGGCATTATTGAATGAAATAGCTCTAAAGTAATAGACCTCACAGCAATGTGCAGTGTTAGAGTGAATTAGAGCCCACAGTGTTAAAGTTCACTGCCATTGGCCTCGTCAATGAAGGAAACAGAGTTCTACTGTACAAAGTAGACAGCTGTGGGCAGTGTAATGTGAGTACCAGAGAATAATATGGTGATAAATCCAATATCAATTTGCAATGTTCTGTGATTACCAGGGAGTATATTACAGCAATACAGCCTACAGAAATAGTCATTGCTTGGGGACAGCAAATGTTCACAGCAATAGAGCTCACAGTGATGGACAATATATGGTTGAAATAGAATTTTTACAGAAATAGAACTCAATGGATAAAGTTAAGCATTTAAAAATCATGGTAAATTACATGAATTTGTGGAATGTGTCTGAATGGGTACAATACAACCCTTCAGTTCTGCTCCCACATAGCTCAACTAACTAGCCTGTGGTTAGTGTTTGTCTGGGATACAGTGTTGGAGACCATAGTAATGGGCAGTAGGCTGTCCATCAGAGCCAAGAAGAAACCATTCGTAACAACTTTGATATTGAATCAGGGGTGGCCCAAGGCCAAGTAATGGTCCTTTTAACTGTGACCATTCAGGTGGGTTATTTTCCTTTAGAGCTGTTTTGCTCATTGCAGGACCAGTTTGGGCACCATAACAACAATGAAATTAAGTTGTTATGGTGCCGCGAGATCCCTTCTTACCTTGAGGGGTTAAACTGTCCATGCTCTAAGACAGTCAGTAGGTTCCCATTCCTAAAAAAAAAAAAAAACTTTTTATGAATGAGGAGCAAGCTACTGATTGACTTAAAGCCAATCAGAGGTGCCCCTGCCTTCCAGCAGTCTCTGCTTCTTCTGTCCAAATCTTAGACACGAGATGTCAATGGGAACAGCCAGGAACGGTGCTGTATTGCATTCTTTGGGGCTGAACTGTTCTTGCTCTCCTGGCACCATAACAGCCTAATTAAGATGAAGTTGTTATGGTGCCCAGAGTGTTCCTTTAACATTTAGAGCAACATAAAATGTATTATATAGTTTTTATAGTACAGTATATACTCGAGTATAAGTCTAGTTTTTCAGCACATTTTTTGTGCTTAAAAACCCCCACTCGACTTATACTCGAGTCACTGTCTGTATTATGGCAACTTAGAGCCGCGGCCGTCAGAGCCATGGCAACGATCCGCGCGGCAACCAGACCGCGAGACTTACAGTGGAGCTGACCGGAACGGAGGAGAAGGGAGTTGACAGGAGCTGCAGGAAAGGTAAGTAAATGCTTCCTGCCGGCCCCCACACTTCACAGCCCATGCCACTGGACCACCAGGGATTAAGATAGCCCCCGTCCCTGACCAGTTAACAAGCAGGGAGGGGGGACAAAAAATAATAAAAAAAATAATATTAAAATTAAAAAAAAATTAAAATAATAAAAATGCCCTCCCCCCACCTAGTTCACACACACTACACAAACACACACTCTACATTATATACACACTCTGCATTATATACACAGAGTGTGTATATAATGCAGAGTGTGTGTTTGTATGAGTGTGTGTGTATATAATGCAGAGTGTGTGTTTGTATGAGTGTGTGTGTGTGTATATAATGCAGATTGTTTGTATGAGTGTGTGTATATATAATGCAGAGTGTTTGTTTGTATGAGTGTGTGTGTATATAATTATAAAAATCACAGAATTTCATAGCCCCAAGTTTTACCCTTGACTTATCCACAAAGCATAACATATTTCACAATTGTTGGTCACAAAACTGCACTCGACTTATACATGAGATCGACTTATACACGAGTATATACGGTAATAAAGAGCTGTTTATCTAATAGTAGCATATAGAATAATGCCTTTATTTTTTTTAAGAAATTGTGTTTAAATATCAGCTGTTCGAATCCCAGCTACACGGCTATAGATGAAAGAAAAAATAATCTGAAACTAGGGCTACAGGAAATATTAGGTAATAGAATTCTATTTTTTTTTTTTTGCCAAAAAATGAATCACCCTTATCCCACCTATCTTTTAAATATACAAAATTAAAAAATGCATTAGCCATGTCTGGGGGAGTACAACATCTGTTCTTAAAGAAACACTTTAGTGTTAGGAATATAAAGATATATTCCTAACACTAAAGAGTCCCTCTGCCCCCATGGCTCCCCGGCCTTCCCATCCATGAAAGGGTTAACAAACCCTTCATTCACTTGAGATCTCTCTGTGCTGGGTTGCGCTCTTGCGCTGACATCAGCCCATGGGGAGACCTAATGTGCATATGTGGTTGGCATTAGGCCTTCCCCATAGGAAAGCATTAAATCAGTGTTTTCCTGTGGGGTTTTGCTTGATGCTGGATATCCGTCAAACTCTGTAAAACTGCAGGAAGCATAAACATTAGAGTTTCTCTAAAACGGCAGTGCTTTACATTGCAGGGCTACGAGGATAGCGACATTGCACCCAGACCATTTTAATCAGATGAAGTGGTCTGGGTGCCCTTTAATGTCCCTTCAAGTAGAAATCTGCCTCTTTTTGCTAGTGGGATACTCTAAGGTTGTACCAACATCAGAAATAGGAAATTGAAACAATCTGATATAATGCTGCCTGGAAAACAGTTTGGGCAAAATTAGTCCATCTGAAGTTAAAACATTACATTTGTAGGACTTGGCAAATGTGTTAACTAAGGACCAAACTGCTGCTTGTGCAGATTTTTTTCTTGCTGTATGTGCGTTGTTGATAGATCAAGTTTTTCCCATGGCTCTGTCTTGGCTTGAAAAGCACTTGTTTGTTATAGATGTGTAGCAACATTTGAAACAGAAACAAAAAAAGCAAATAGTAGTCAATTTTCCCTCTAAACCACTTATTTGGCACTCAAAAATATAATCAATAAAGTGTCCGAGGAACGGAGATTTAAGAGTGAGGCTGTTGGCAACATCAAAGATGTTGATTGAATAACGGTTGATGCAAATGCACTGTTTTGAAGATCCATTTACAGAACTGACCACATTATAGGACTAACAGAAAGGCTGCATACATCTTAGGTAATCTGAAGGATAAAAGTAACCAACACTACTTAGGTGTCCAGAGTATTCAGGGAAATTACTTGTTCTGGTGAAACTTTTGGAATTGAGCCAGAAATATCACTTACTTTGGACCATAGAAAAGGATATATTTTTTCATTCTACAACGAAAATATTTTTGTACAGTTTGTCATTTCCCAATGGCTAATAATAAAAGTAAACACAAAAATCTCTGGCTGGCAGATAATTAAGGGGACACTATAGTCACATGAACAACTTTAGCTTAATGAAGCAGTTTTGGTGTATAGAACATGCCCCTGCAGCCTCACTGCTCAATCCTCTGCCATTAAATCCCTTTGTTTATGAACCCTAGTCACACCTCCCTCCATGTGACTTGCACAGCCTTCCATAAACACTTCCTGTAAAGAGAGCCCTATTTAGGCTTTCTTTATTGCAACTTCTGTTTAATTAAGATTTTCTTATCCCCTGCTATGTTAATAGCTTGTTAGACCCTGCAAGAGCCTCCTGTATGTGATTAAAGTTCAATTTAGAGATTGAGATACAATTATTTAAGGTAAATTACATCTGTTTGAAAGTGAAACCAGTTTTTTTTTCATGCAGGCTCTATCAATCATAGCCAGGGGGAGGTGTGGCTAGGGCTGCATAAACAGAAACAAAGTTATTTAACTCCTAAATGACAGTGAATTGAGCAGTGAAATTGCAGAGGAATGATCTATACGCTAAACTGCTTTATTTAGCTAAAGTAATTTAGGTGACTATAGTGTTCATTTAAGTAATATGAAGTCCAATAACATCTAGGGGTGCAGTTTGACAAACCAGTTATGGAGCTTATTGGGAGTGATCTATGACAAGTACTGGTCATGGCATTAGGAATACATGTTTGTAAAAAAAAAAAAATCTTACTTTTGATCTGACTATAAAGGGGTTATTTAGCATCTCTATGAACCATTATTTGAAACATACTCTGCCATTCATAAAAAAAGTTAATATTATGAACAATACACTGAAAAAACTAAGTATAACAATAAGGTATTGTGTGAAGCCAAGCAAGACATCATAGGAAATATAGATAGCACAGGAATTTATTTCTCTCCGTTGCTCTGAAAATTCCAATTCAGTCAGTGGGATTTGGAAATCAGATATGGAATAGAAAGATGTTAAAGTCTCAAACATTGTTACAAGTGAGATGTACCTCCTGTTAGGGAGGAATGTGTGTCCAATAAGGTGCTAAAGATCAAAAATAAATTACAGCTGCTCAAAAACACTTGTGTGGAAATAACCTCTTATCCACACTTAAAGTAGTCCAAAACCTATAGGGCGGTATAATTGCAAAAACCTACACCTCTATGTGGAGTGCTAAAAAAAATGACGGGGTACACTTACCCCATATAACTTGATAGCAAGCTTAATTTGCAGTACATGTGAAAATAGTAAAAAAAATCAATATAGTGCAAATGGTACATAAAGATAAAATAGATAAAATGGTCTTGAAGTGGAATACTCACATTTAAAGGAGCCTGCATATAAACACTGGCTCCATATTCAGGCTTGTATGCTTTTAAGGTAGCATCACACCGGCACTCCACGATATGTTGGATCTCAGAGGTGTAGGTTTTTGCATTTATACCGCCCTATAGATCTCAAACATTGTTATTTATGGAGGTAATAATGCCAAACCACCACTGAGTGAATCACTAGAACCAGTTATATTCTGTATGGTGGGACATAAAATAATATTGCACATAGCTATGGTTTCAGTATATTTATTCTCTATGGATAGGACCCTACAAACCTTGTCATTGATGAGAAGCTCCATTGGGTTATGTCCCCATTCCAAAAGCACTATCTCATTAGGTTGTCCAGGAACAGAGTAAGAGAAAGGTGTGCCCGACCCAGAAGAAGCCTTGGATTTCAACCACACACACATTGTGAAAGCATAGAGCTCTGGTAGAGTTTTCTTCATTCGACCATACATGTAGTTTGTACGAACTGAGAAAATGAGCTTGAAGTTTTCTGGGTGGTAGCTAGGTAAACCTGAGAAAGCAGACAAAAAAAGACTTTTTCTAGGATACCATAAAGTAGAGTCAGATCACTGTAGAAATTACTTTACTTTGATTTAAATCAAGGGCAGCAAGCAACGCATTTTAGAAAAGTACAAAAACTCGTCAAGTCAAGAAATGTACACAATCAAAGAGCTGATATTTTGTATATGCAATTTCATTGAATAAGTTAAAACTGTGCTGAAATAGCAGGGGCATTAAAAAAAAGGACACCAGAATAATAGAGATGGAATATAAAATCACGAACTCATCTGTGTAGCAGACATCTTACTATGCAATCTATCTTTTTATTTATTTTTGTTAACATACAAACACTAACTCTGCTGCTCGATGCAATATATCTCACCCCTCTGTTCTGAAATATATTACTCCCCTTCTCTTTTTTCAGTTATATGACATGTAGGTACTTTTTTTAGTCTCATCATTTAATAATAATACCACCACCTTGTTCCAGTTCTGCTATGCGATTCTGCAAGATGCTCAGCTCTTTCTCTATGTCCTGCTTGTCTCTCTCCCCAGATGCTGTTGACTGCTCTTTCTCTAATTCCTGAAACTTGGCCAATAGCTGTGCCTCTAACTCAAGCAAGTTCCATTGCAGCGAGTCCTTTCCATGAGCTGGTGGAGGCGAGGTGGAAGCTGGAGTGGACATGTTGTTCACTCGCTGCTGAATCTCCAGCTGCAACAAGACAAAAGTACGAAAAACAATAAGTAATCTATAAACATCTGGCTATTTACATTAATGTGACTTGATGCCAGGGCCATACTACTACAGATCATAGTAGCTGCTAACATCCCCCCTGTATCTCAATGGAGTTTACCTCAGAGAGACTAATTCACCACGTCTGCCACTCACACAACCTTTAGTAAAGAATACAACACGTTGCATTTAGTATGTGTGTATAGCCTTCATGCCTCAGGTCAGTATGTGCATAGTATCAATATCATACCACTGAGCCAGAGGTGTACACAGGTGACATGGCACCTTGGGCAGAAATTTATTCTGGTACTCCGAGCTGTATTTTGGTGTCTCCCTCTCACCACCCGCCAACCCCCTTATGTTATGGAAATTACACACAGTGACATTTATATACACATTCGTATTCACACATACCTACAGTCATGTACACACACATTCACACACAAGGACTCATTTACAACAACATATATTAATAAATACACACTCATATTCAAATACACATGGACATTCACACACATCCATTTAATTACACACAGACTCATATACACACATTTTTATTTACACAATTATTAATACACAGAATCACAAAAAAAAAACATTCATATATACACACAAGGACTCATATACATGACACAATTAATATAGATACACACACACTACAAATACATAAGGACATACACACATTTTTATACACACTTATTGGTACACACAATCATGAAAACAAACACATGTTCATGTGCACAATCTC